TGGTATCACACACATTTAATAAATGCTTTCTCCATTCCTAGATTTTCTGAATACTCATCTTTCATATGATTCTGCTGTTTTATATTCTCCCCTAACAGTTTTTTTGCGAATTAATTCTCTAAGAAGAAGGTGGCAACCTCATAGTCCCATGACTTAAATACTATTTAACACCGATGCTCCCAAACACGCACCTCCTGCTCTGTGGTTGCCCCTGAATTCTGGTTGTATCTCTCGGGAGTCTGAGGCATTTCAAATGTAACAAAACCATAATTTCTAATCAACCCCAACAACTAAACCCCAGACTTGCTCCATTTCCAGAATTTCTTGTTTCATTAATGACACTATCACCCCACCAAAGGTAGTTCTCATGCTTGCTCTCCCCTCTCTATCCCATTTCCAATCCATCAACAAATCTTGACTAACTCTCCTTCCCGTATTTATCTAAATCTCCCTGCTTCGCATGTTGGCCACTCTTCTTATTCTAGTCCTGATAACCATGATCTTCTGCCTTTATTACTTACTTCCTCTATTTTTGTTCTTCTTCTACTTTGGTCCATTTTCCAAAGTGAAGACTAAATTATCTTTACAAAACATTAATTAAATTATATCATCCTCTGCCTTCAGTCTTTGGTTTCCCATCCCACTTAGGATAAAATTTAAACTCCCTGCTGGAGTCTACCAAATTCCTGTTAATTCAGAGCATCTCTCTCTTTCTCTACCCTCCACTCACTCTGTTCTGGCCACATGGCCTTCTGTTTGTTCTTCGAATACAATAAACCTATTTCTGCCACAGGTCCTTTGAATGTAGTATTCCTTCTGCCCCACACACAGATCTCCCAGATTTTTCTGATTCCCTTCTTCTCCTTCTTCAGTATCAACCCAAATATCCACCTCCCCTTTTGGTGGCCTCCACAAGCACACTCTTCTTAAGTAACGTTTCCTACTTCATCCTGTTTTGTTTGTTATAACATTTGCCAGCTGACAGTTATTGTACTTACATATTTTTTCTTAGAATGTAAATCTCATGTGAACAGAGTTGCGTCTACTTTGTTCACCCCTTTAACCTTGTGTAGAACCAGGCCCATAGTGGGAACTCAGTAAGTACTGTTCGAATATTTTGAACAAATTATTAAGACATTCAAAAAGTGCCATTTTTCAAAGTAAAATTCCTACCCACTTGTTTAGTGACTGTAACTGCAGAAGTTACAGGGTAGAAAATGAGGTGCAGCTCAATGACAGGCTAAAAAGAAAGGTGTTTGGAGGCTAATGTATGGAGCCAACTTTTGCTAATAAATATGGCTGGTTTATTTCCCTATATTTACATAGAGCGAAAAGGACAAGAGGAACATTAGCTTATCCCTACAATGGGAGATGTAATTTTCATTGTTAAATGCACTTAGTATCTATCACAGTAAGAAATAGATTGAGTTCTATGGAAACACAAATAAGTGATCATCTAAATCTACAGATTAAATTCTGAACCTACTTCTACTTCCTCCCTTTGTCTCACACTACTCCCAAATGAAGAAACTATCGTTTATAGAAGACAATTTTCTGAAACTTTTCAGACCTGACACCGTGCTAGGTCTTTATAACTCCCCCCCTCATAGTGACAGTATAATAGCCAGCCCGGCCAGGGCACACATATATGATTAGCAGTCAGAAGTCTAGCAAAATCAAAAATGTTTCTTCCTCTTTGGGACAGCTGGCTTAGGAGAGAACATGTTCTAAGACATTAAAGGTGAATATTTTCATGACACCTGTACAAAATGACTTTCTGCTATCTTCTCTAAAAACCTAAGCTTCAATCTTTATCCTATAGACTTTAAAAGATAGACCTCAAAGGTAACATTTTATATCATAGTCTCTTACAGTCCTAGAACAAAACTTAAGCATGAATAATTGGAGATCTGCACACTAATATAAAGACGAAAGAATGGGACTCAATTTAACACAAGAGCTAAAAAAAAAAAAAAAGTGGGATTATTTCCCTCTGCCATCTTGAAAAGGATATGGCTTTAAAACCTACGAAACAAGAAGACGGTGACGTTATGCTGGATGGGCAACATACCAGTGAACCCTCTTCCTAAGAGTTTTTATAAACCTTTATATTTTGACTATCTACTTATTTCTTTGTGAATATAGTTTTCTTCTATCTGTGGACTCTTTCCTATATAGCAGCTCCATCCTCATTACCTATAACAAGGTTTCCATCAACTTTTATCATGTATATATTCCATAAAGTTTGAACACACACCTACTTGATATGTGAATTTATGTATTTCTACCCTAAACACATGTGCCATTGTGCTGTTACATATTTTATACACTTTCCTACAACCAAATACATTAACATAACGAGACAGAATAAATAGACACTGAAGTTCTATTTTTCCTTCCTGCCCTCCAGTCGATTGGTTTATGCCCTCTCTGGGGGAACGTTTAGCCCCCTTTGGAGACCACTAAGATTTTCTCTCAAGGAAAGGGACTGATTCATATTAAAGCTCTTTTGATTTTATGATCAATGTGCACTAGAGTTCCTGAATAGTCTAGATCTGCATACCTTATTATACCATGTTACAGTGCATGAAGCTATGAGGTGCCAGCTAGAACAAGGTATTTGTTCCTCCAGCTGCAGGTAATATTGTTGGCTGCTGGTAACTCAGAGCTGAGTTAACACTCCCCTGCCTCCACCCTAGTAGCCCTCATCCAATTACTGGTCCAATAACCCACACCTCCTTGTTTCAGTTCAGGCCAACTGGAAAGGGCTATCCTAGCTCCAGAGGTCCTACTGGATTCAGAAGAAGCTTCCATTATTACTACAATTGCACGCTCTCGCTCTCGCTCTCTCTACAGTGCTACTTCCTCCAGTCCTTCACTGATTGCAAAGGCACCCTGCCAGAAATCTCCTGCACACAAATCTCTGTTGCGGAGCCTCTTATGTGTTGAGTTCCTAATAGATTGTTTATTGAGCCACTGGAAATTCAAGAATTAAACTAATATCCTAAGTCCTTCTGAATCCCCGTTAGTTTCTCACTGAGTCAAGATGCATGTCTTTTGTTTTCTGGATGTCTTCTTTGTTTTTCTTATTATGGAAAATCAAGGTTCCAAAAATTGGACAGGAAGAGTGACTTCCTTCTTCTAAATGCCTGAGTGATATTTACTAATGGGCTTAATATCACTGCTTCTGAGAACAACAGATCTCCAACCTGATCTCAGCCATTCTGCCCCAGACTGTGGTCTAATTCATACTGCTCACTCTGATGCCTGCTTCAGGGTCAGTTCAGCTCCTGACACAATCCCAGTTCCACTCAGGTTCAAGAAATGTTAGAGCGCTTGACCTACTAGCAGCATAAGGCACCTACTTACTTTACCTGGGATAGATCTCTCTGAGAGAATTGGTTTAACTCACCAGAGGCTATGAGGTTTAATGCACTAGTAGTCATGACACCATTTTTCTCTTACACTTTTCTCAATGGAACTTACTTGGTTCTGCCATCCAGGGTGAAAGCTCTGTTTTCCCAATGCACCAGTCACAGAATAAGCAAAGTAACCATTATTGCTTCCTGGAAGGGAGAGATCTATGGTATTGGACATAGTGCCCCCTGTTTACATTTTCTTTGATAAAGATACAGACTTTCATAAAAATGGAATCCTAAGAACTGGCCCTACATAAACTTAAGTTTTGCAAAACAACTATGAAAAGCATACCAATGACTCTAGATTTTTTTTTTTTGAGAGAGAGAGAGAATGCCTGTGAGCAAGGGGGAGAGTGGTGAGAAGAGGGAGAGGGAGAGAGAGAATCCCAAGCAGGCTCCATGCCCAGCGAAGAGACCCACATGGGCTCAATCTCATGACCCTGAGATCATGTCCTGAGCCAAAATCGATTTGGATGCTTAACCTACTACTGAGCCACCCAGGCACCCCTACAATATTTTAATATTCATAAAAACTCAATACAATGCTTAGGTATAGTTTCTGACATAGAATATCAGAAATAAGAAACCACCCAAGGTTTTACTTAGAAAAAATGAGAATATATGCATAGATAAATTGTTAGAAAAAAACGAATACCTAAAATATAGTCCTTCTTACCCCAAACTCCAATAGATGAAGAACGGAGGATGACCATTACAGCATGTAATATAATATTTGATTCTAATTAAAAGATTATTCAGTGAAATGCTCTTTTGATAGAAATTGACATGCTTCATATGCTATATATTAAAAACAGTAATACATACTTGATTACAGATTATTAAAGATATAACAGAAGTATTTCATAAACAGTCATTAGGTAGATTATAAGATAACATGTAAAAGGTGATACAGGAAATAAATACAAAAATGCCTATTATCCATTTATGACTTAACATTTATTGAAAGTGGAGCAAAACCCTTCACAGCAAGGCTCAGAGAGTTGCCTGCAAAGTGACTCCAGTGTCTTCTATGGTTGTTGTTTTTTTCCCTAATTGTCACGGCAGTCCCCATGTCTAAAGCTCATTCATCGGGGATGAAGCTTATGCTACGATTTTCACTATACCTTGAGATGCTGAGGCTATGGCTACTTTTCACAGATACGGAGCGCCCTCCATTAAAATACTACTGTATGGATAGGCACCTGGGTGGCTCAGTAGTTAAGCGTCTGCCTTCGGCTCGGGTCACGATCCCGGGATCCTGGGATCGAGCCCCGCATCGGGCTCCCTGCTCCGCCGGGAGCCTGCTTCTCCCTCTGCCTCTGCCTCTCTCTCTGTGTGTCTCTCATGAATAAATAAAATCTTTAAAAAAATAAAAAATAAAATAAAATACTACTGTACATTGACTCTGTAAGAAAATTGCTCAACAAAATATTTCTAAAATCTCAATACAAATAATTTATTCCAATACTCACATTTAGGTAGGACCATCAGATAGGATTAATAGATTTAGCACATGTAATGGAAAGCGAATACTTATTATTTACCATTGATTATACCAATAAATAGAGTATCAGCACTTACCTGAATAACGTGCTTCAGTTTATCAATAATTTGATTTATCACGGGATCAGTTCCTCTGACTTTGACTTCGGGATTTCCAGATTGGGCTTTGATTCCATTTCCAACCACACGCTGAGTATAGCTAACAAAGTGAAAAGTGGAAGATATAGAATTTAGTAATCTGATCAGAATATTATCTGCCATAACCATTTGAATACACCTGAGCTCAGAATCTTACTCTTTTAAGAGTGTACAACAATGCTTTTTTTCTTGGAACAGGCCCTGGCCCAGCTGCGACATTATTTTAGTAAGATGCTTACCATGGAAACATGAACTATTCTAATGTTTTTCTCTCAAAAGACCCAACCAAAAATTAACTATGTTTTAATACTACTTATCAATATACTAAAGAAAGCTAATGTACATCCTACTTTGTTACCAGGTCTTGCTGAATTACACATATGTCTGAATCCATATTACCTGGGTCAATTTAGTTCATTGTATACGGTATATAAATGAGTCCCAATACTATTTTTTTTTTACATACTGGACTACAAAAGTCAAAATTATGAACATTATAAATAAACAACTAAAACTGGCAAAATATTTTGCAAGCAGACAAAAACACAATCTTTCACCAACATTTATCTAAACAAGGGTCTAGTAAATCATGTTGTATGTAATAGGGTGACTTCATAGGTGGTTGAAGTCATTGCAAATTACTATCTTCCCAAAATGACAATTTAGATTCATCAGTCACAATCCTAGGAATGAAGGAGAGGTTCAGTATGTTATGGGAATAGCTAGAAGGAACAGTATATGCCATGTGAGAGGTTAGGGATAACATGGGTAGTAAACACTGAACATATGGAGAAGTCCATCCGGACTAAGACACTTGGGGAAAAATTAAAGAAGTTATTGCTTGTGTTAGCCCTTGAAGTATTATGGGAAGAACAGGTCTTAGATGGTATAGTTAATGTAAACTCCAGAGCAAAGGATGACATCCCAGCCAGAGAAATGGCAAAGGCATATGAATAACACACACAGGGAAGAATAGTTAGGTTTCTAATTACAAATAGGGAAAAGTAAGAGATAGGAGGCCATGCCCTAAACATTCCATACTCTCTCCATTTAAGACTCTCCACTGAGTAATCTGTTTGTTCAAACAGAAGTCATAATAAAGTGGCCTCAGAGAATTTCCAGCAAGCATTTTCATATTATGTTTAATATTAATATTTCTTCCCTCTATTTGAGCAGAGTATCACAGCTACTCGCATGAACCCTGTGGATTTTCTACAGCAATGGAAGTTCTTTGAAAAGATGAAAGGAGGTTCCACTGTTGAGAATATGGCCAGATACAAGAAGTTTTAATGAATATCCAATTCCTTCCCAAATTTTGCACACCCAGTGACTAATTTATACAAGTGGATCAAACAATTACTAGCTAGATCCTTCCAATTAAATGATGCAACTTTTTTATATTGATAATATCAATTGCATGTGACAAAAATAATGATATTAATAAATCTTTTTTTTTAATTTTTAAAACAACCTTAAACCCGCTTCTTAAGGCAGAAATAAAGGGGTATAGAGTTAGGTATTCCAGTATACTTTAGGGATTTGGCAATATATACCAATAACTATTAGTAGAAGGAAATCAATTACACAAATCTATTGATATGTAATAATATTTCTTACTTAAGAGGAATTAAGCAAACTATAAATATTAAGCTTCTCTTAACTCCTCTGTAGCACTATTATATTTTTCTTCCAAATATTTCAAGCAGATTGCATATGTGGCTCCTTTATTAATGTGTTTATTATTAATAATGATGAATACTATGAATACATAAATGGACAAATCCATGTTTATGATTCAGGCATTGTTTTAAGTACTTTCATTGGAGTTTGTCAATTTATCTACATGATAATCATTTGTTGTGGCCATGAGCATGTGCCTCTGGACCTCAAAGTACAACAAGTTTAATTGACTAAGAGTACCTGCTGTTTTGCTCTGAAATCTATTTCTGCACCTGTCCCCAACCAATGACTGTGTTCAGCAGGGATATTAATGCAGAGCCATCACAGGAAGACAGAGGGTTCCTCTGATAGCTAAGTTTGTCTCAGGAATCCCTGAAACCCTTGCTAACCTTTCCTTGGGCTGCACATCATGCTTGATACTTCCACTCAAACTTCTTACCCCTTCCCTGCACTCTGGGTCACGCGTGCTTCATGACTAACAGCTTTTCCAGCCTTACTCAGTTTCCACCCCATTTGTTTGGATAGGCATCTCCCTTAATAAAACCCTCTTGTGTTTAATCCCTTTTTCGCATCTGCTTCTTGGAGAATCCAGATTAATACATCATATAATATTTATATTATAAGGATTCCCACTCTACAGGTTGGGGATCTAGGATGTGAATTTGTTCAGTACCTTTCCTAATGCAACAGTTTGTTAAGTATGCAGCAAGGGTATGAATCCAGGGAACATGAGCTCCAAAATATAATCACTCAATAATTATTAATGAAAACTCCTGAAACCAACTAATATAAACTAGACATACAATTAGTTTTGGGCAAAGTGTTTTTCTTCTTTTTGTAATCCTTTCTTTTTTTCTGTAACTACAGCATTTTCAAATGTTTTACTACTCATAATTAGAAAAGGATGTACTATTTTCTTCAAAGATCGCAGTGAACAGTTGTATATTACCAGCTAAAGAGGGAAGTTATGCTTGCTGGAGGGGTGAAAAGAAACTAATAGAGTGCAAGTTTGCTATAAGATTTTCCTATTTCTCTAGAAACACAGACATAATATGAGCAATGGAAATTTAGTCTCATCACTTAAATACAGTAAAACCTTACACAATACAGGTTTGAACTCTCTGGGTCTACTTATACATGGATTTTTTTTTTTTCAATAAATACAGTACTATAAATGTATTTTCTCTTTCTAGTTATTTTCTTAATAACATTTTATTTATTTTCTCTACTTAACTTTATTCTAAGAATATAGTATGTAATACATATAACACACAAAATACGTGCTAATCGACTGTTATCGGTAAGACTTCTGGTCAGCAGTAGGCTGTTTGTAGTTTCAGGAGAGTCAAAAGTCATACGTTGATTTTTGACTATTCTCCTAACCCCCACATCCTTCAAGGGTCAGTTGTAAACTATTACTTTGGTTGCATCTTGGTTTATGTACAGACCATGAACTTACTTTCAAGATGCGGGAATGTCACGTCATATTAATCTGAAGAATTTCACATTTTTATTGTTAACTATCACAGTTGATAACACAGATAAATTTTATCACAATTACAACTGACCAAGAATCTCATTCCAAACTAGTGTATTATTCAGGAGTTCAGTATCACTATTCTTACATATTATTTAAATAAGGAGAAACACTGCCGCAGGGCATTTAAGATACTTCAAGTGAAATATAAGTTTTTTGTTTTTTTTTTTAAAGATTTTATTTATTTATTTGACAGAGAGAGACACAGCCAGAGAGGGAACACAAGCAGGGGGAGGGGAGAGGGAGAAGCAGGCTTCCCGCCGAGTGGGGAGCCTGATGCAGGGCTCGATCCCAGGACCCTGGGACCATGACCTGAGCCGAAGGCAGACGCTTAACGACTGAGCCACCCGGGGCGCCCCAGAAATATAAGTTTTAAAAATAAGTTTTTCTTTTCTGTTTTCATAAAGTTAAGAACTACGATGCAACAGTGGTACATACACACCAGAAGAGTTTAAATGAAAAAGACAGATGATACCAAGTGTTGGCACGGACATGGACCAGTTGGAGCCCTTTCTCTTTGTGGATGGTGTGCAAACTGATATAAACCACTATTTGACATGTATACTAAAGCTAACAATCCCATGGTCCTGGGGATATACTCAGCAATGTCTACCAAAAGACAGGTATAAGAATGCTCAGGGAAGTATTACTCAAAATAGCCCCAAATTGGACATAACCCCAATGTCCATAAGCATTAAGATGAGAAAATAAATGGGAGTATATTTATATAATAATATACTATACAGCAATGAGAATGAATGAATTATAACTATATGTAATATCTTATAAGCTAAATGCTGAATGAAAGAAGCAAGGTATAGAACATGCACTATGACCCCATCTATAAAAGTTTAACAATAAATCAATGTTCTAAATCACCATAAGCACTACTCTAGGAGATACTGTCTAGAAGGCTGAAGTCGATTTCTGGGGCTCTAGTAATATGTTCCTTGATTTGGGTGCTGGATACACAAGAATTCTCATTTTGTGTAAAAAAAAAAAAAAAGATTGAATTGTACAGTTAAGATTTGAATATTTCATTGTATGCATGTATTTTCAACCCAAATAAAACACTTACATTATTAAACTCCTTCTGCTCTTTTTCTTAATATGTATACAACAAACAAATTTTCATTGAACCATGTATAAATAAAAGATCCACACTGGTATTTTTAACGTGGGCTAAATGGTTTTGTCATCACTAAATGAGTAATTTAGGATCCTGGTTTGATATAAAAACTTACTCCCTGCAGCCTTTACTTTGCATGCAAAATATATGGTTTCTTAATGAAATAAGAATTTTTCTAACAAAGACTTTTTGAGCTTCTTATTATGAAATTTTAATAAATCACTAATCACATTTTCCTTCTAAATGTACAAGTAATGGATAAAACTTTTCAAGGATCCCTACAGAGGTTTCTTGACTTGAAAAATTGCTTGCATTTCAACTAGGAGAAGGGAATAAAACACACACCAAAAAAAAAGAGGCACATTTTTTGTTAGAGAAGTAATAGACCCACCATCTGTGCTTATTTCTTCTAAACAGGTCTGGTAATAGATGACAGCGCTTTAATAGGAATACTCACTCCCCAAGTACAACTTGCTTTTCATTAGTATGGAAAAAAGGCAAGCACTGATATATTTACATTCTACAAAGATGTTTTAAAATGATGATTAACAAGATTCCAATTCTCTTTGTGTTCAACATATGAAATATTAAAAAGAAGTGCTAATAAATCTACACACAGTATGTCATTAGGAAGTCATTTCTCCTGACTTTACCAACATTTCTTATTGGAAACTCATGTCATGCCCTACTAGTTGATATTAATTTCACTTTATTT